CAAAAAAAAAAGAAACCTATCATTCTATAGGTATTTGAAGAACTTGTAGCATTCCCCCACAATTCTTCGTATTGTTAGCCGACACTAAGCAGCTGGTCTGAAGTTTCATTGGTGGTAGTGTCTAGGGTCACTGATGAGGAGTGGAACAACTTTATTAAATTATCATAAGTATTTCTCAGAGCTAGTGATATTGGCTTATCACTTGATGTATTTTTCAATTAAAGAGATATACAAGGTTGGTAAAACAAAATTGACTGAAACAACAAACAGTGTTAAAATTTCATTTCGAGGGTTTGTTTGTTTGTAATTACGCACAAAGCTACACAATGGGCTATCTGTGCTCTGCCCACCACGGGTATCGAAACCCTGATTTTAGCGTTGTAAGTACGCAGACATACCGCTGTACCACTGGAGGGGGGGGGGCATTTCGAGGGACACAAGTCCCCGTGCCGAAAGTATATAAAAAAGCAGCACAGTGAGTAAAATTAATGACAACTGTCATCAAATATTTAAAATTATCAGACTTTCTGGATCATATACACTATAGGTTTTTTCCATTTGCTATTTCAATAGTTATCATTCGTTAAATGTAATATCAAGACTATTTACGAATAGAGAAATATTGTTATATGTATTTCCGGTAATTAGCAGTAAGTTTACGGATTTACAATAAAAAGTATCACATGTTTCCCATCAATGGGCAAACTGAACTATTGAATGTCTTTTTCATTTTCTCGTTCAATACAAATCATTTAGTTCTTGTCACGTTAAACCATTGAACGTCTCTTTCATTTCCATGTTCAATACAAGTCATTTGGTTCTTGTCACATTGAACCATTGAACGTCTTTTTCATTTCCTTGTTCAATACAAATCATTTGGTCTTGTCACATTGAATGTTTCTTTCCTTTCCTTGTTCAGTATATACATTTGTTTTCAACACATTGAACCGATAAAAGTCTGCTTCATTACCTTGTCTTATAGCAATAATTTCTTTCTAGCGCATGGAACTGTTGAAAGTCTGTTTCACTTTCTTGTTCTATAGAAATCCCTTGTTTCTAAACACATTTAACTCTTGAAACTCTGTATTTCTTCATTGTCTTATAGAAATTGTTTGTTTCTAAGCACATTTAATTCTATAAAGTCTGTTTCATTTCCTTGTTCAACAGAAACAATTTGCTCCTTAGCACACGGAACCCTTGAAATTCTCTGAATGTTGTCCTAAAGCTTCCTTGCTTAACATATTTGTAGCAACTTTTTCAAAGTTATTTATACTAAAATGTAAACTATTTGAAATGTATTATCCAAAAACAATCTTGTGAATTTGAAATGATAAAAACATAAACGACGTTATTTCAAGCCTAATCTATATATAGATGAATATAATCTCGTTTTGATAGACATATAATAATTCCAAAAGTTGAAGTATGTTATTTTTCCTACATTTATTTTGATTGTTTGTTTGTTTTGAATTTCGTGCAAAGCTACACGAGGGCTATTTGCGCTAGCCGTCCCTAATTTAGCAGTGTAAGACTAGAGGGAAGGCAGCTAGTCATCACCACCCACCGCCAACTCTTGGGCTACTCTTTTATCAACGAATAGTGGTATTGACCGTCACATTATAACGTCCCCACGGCTGAAAGGGCGAGCATGTTCGGTGTGACGGGGATTTGAACCCGCGACCCGCAGATTGCGAGTCGAGCGCCCCTAACCACCTGGCCATGCCGGGCCCATTTATTTTGATAAGTACTGAACAAAATTAAAAAAAATTACAGTAAGTAAGTTAGTTCAAGGATTTAAAACCGTCTTTTGATTGTTTTTAACACACTTGTTTGTTTCACAAATTTAATTCATCTTCATAATATAACTTACTTTAAAGAAATAAAGACCAGTTGGTAATTCTGTGATATCAACCCATTGACAGTCAATGTTGTGGAGGTAGGTATCAGTACATCCAACAGAAATACCTTGATCTCCATAGTTTGCACATGCGTACTTTTTCTCTATTCCTTCTTGGCACTGGTTATCTTCCAAGCAGAAGCTGGCCTTGTGACCCTCGGCAACTTTTTGTCCCTGTTGGTTTATAATGTCGAAATGGGCGAACACCTCCATACTGTGATAGTGCCTGGATTTCAATAATAAGAAAACAACCGAGTGAAAAATAATTAAACGTCGTTCTTTATGATAACAGATTTGTGATCATAAAAAGAACAGTCAGTCAGGAAACTAATAAACTTAACAGCTCTTAAGCGAATAGAAGGAAACGGTTAAAACTGCTTTAATTAAAAGGAAAAATAAACATAGATCACCATTTTGACTTTAAAGTCAATGGGAATTAAACCTTAACTAGATATTGCTGTTCCTATACATCGCTGTAGGTTTTCTTTATTCACTTGAAACTTCGTACTAATCTAAAATACCGTTTTTCTTACCGATTGGGTAGGTTATTATAATAATATTAATATGCTAAGGGATGCAACCAAATAACTGAATTTTTTTTGTTTGTCTTATTTCAAATAGAGCAAAAAAGACATGTTTCAATATATATTGCTATATTTTTCTGCACATTTCTATATAGCATGCATAAATCATATTGTACCTATTGCTATTGGATATTGGCAGATATTTATCTCGAACTCTGGATAAGGTATGATTTAAGAACATTTAAATAGACAGTGTTCAACCTTTTCATCACCACACAAACAACAGCCACACTAAAGCGCAGATATGCTTTCATTAAAGAATATTAAACAAGTTTACCTCACTGAAGTCGGAACAAATCTATTTGACTGAAACAGAGGTTCGGAAAACGCGTTTAATAAAGCCCGAATAAAACCTGTTTCATTGAAACCCAAACAAGCTTTGTTCACTGATTATGAACAAAGTTGTCTCGTGGACAACCAGAAAAATTTGCTTTATCGAAGCTCGAACATTATTGTTTCTTCAAGTACTAAGCATATTTTATCAATTGAAGTACGTACAGGGTTATTTTACTCAATCCAGAATTCATGCCTCAGTGAAGCACAAACACACATGCTTCATTAAAACTAACATTAGTTTATCTCATTGATTAACGCATAAACTTTCTTTGACATATTGAAGTCTATTAAAGCCTGAAAGTGTACATTACAATTAAAAAAACACACTGCCCTCACTAATGCTAAGAGGATATTTGCCTTATTACAAACAACCTCTACAATTTGAATATAATGCAAAAATTTGTTTTCTCTATATCCAAAAAACTAGAAAGATGCAATACAAAAGTCACTAAAAGTGGAGTGATACGAGTGAGTTTATAGAAAACAATTAAAATAATAACACAAAATATTCATTTATGAAAAAAAAAGATGTTTTGTTTGGTTATAATAGACATTTCGCGTAGGAACACCATTTTTGTTAGGTGAATGTACGTTATTTGTGATCTTAGCCTTTCCAATTTTTCACCAACAAGGTAACCCTAATTCTTACAGGTGGCACATGTGCCATTCCCATGCATGTTTCGGTAGAAAAGGCCGAAAGTCCGTTGTTCCAACATTTCCAATCCTTGCTGTGAAACGAAGTAGCCGCCGCCTTTCATACTGCCATCCTAGGAAGAAAATACTGTAAAGTGAGCAAAATGATGAGAGACTAATACATAAGAACTAAAATAAAAAAGTTTTGTTTTTATCATGCCATAGGCATTGTGGCGATAACTTCTAGTTTTGTTCAGTTCCATATAAAAATTAATTTTTGAACGAGCTATGTGATGATATGAAAATCATAAGCATACTATGATGTGTTGGATCATGTGTAAAATAATGTTTACGTTGCGCGACCGATCGGTTAACTTGTTCGGACTTTGCATTTGAAGCTTCACAGTTCTCGACCCGTTGCCGCAAAAACGTGCCATGCACTTTGGAACTTTCAACTATTTGGTTAGAATAACCCACGAGTTCCTGGTGGGCGCTGTTGACTAGCTGCCTCTCCTCTAGTTTACCAATTCAAAATTAGGGACAACTATGCGCAGATAGTCATTTCTGTAGCTTTGGGCGTTAACTCTGAAACAAACAAACCCATTCTCTTGTTGTATGCAACATCAGATTACAAGAAATTCGATGACG